CGAATAAAAAAAGGGGGGGGTCGTACAGGACTCGACTAAAATCCGCAACCAATGATGTGTCCTAGTTGATACTTACGCACTTCAATCATTAGCGATCAGTGGGCCAGCATGCCTGCGTCTACCAACTATTGATCATGTTCAAAGGTTCCCGCTAGTGATCACTGGTGGATGCTGAGGAAGAGTATTGCTTGTTGTTTACCTTACGTCGAGTATGAACGCAGTCTCACTTTTTGAGCCTTAAAACAGATATGGTTGCTTGCCCTTCAATATGTTCTTATTGACAGAATAATGTTGTTCATATTGATCCTTTTGGCCATGGTCTCTGTTCTGCAAGTAAAATTTGTTCTTAATTTTACTTTGTATAGCCAGTGTGTGACCAGGACTTTGCATGTGTGTGTGCTTCTGTTATAGTTATGAGTGAAAGATCGAGCGTTTTCCGTTGGTCTTACCGCCGAGACGGTTTTGCCATTTCTAGAATGAAACCAAAGCGATCAAAAAGGAAGCCGACTATTGCAAAAGCAGACTGTGGCAGGAAAGTGAGCAAGAATGATCACGAGGTTGCTGAGGAAAATAACCATGTGGACCACAAGATTCTTTTTCATCCTGCACTTAAGTTGCAACAGGTAAAAACATTGATTTCAAATTCCCTTGCTTTCGGCGGTGATGGTCTTCTGTCCGCCACCAAGTGCCTCTTCTCTCTTCAGAAAATTTCACGTTTCATTCTAATTGTGGTCATCTGAATGAAAAAAACACACGGGTTATTGAGCGCAATTCCTCATGGTGAGGGTGCTTCCTTAGTTCCCATCGATCTCTGCCGATGCTCCTCATGGACGCATGCGAAAGCGCGTTCATACTTCACGATCGCGCGATTGCGACGGGACTGTTCCACCGCCATCCGCGGATTTGCGACAACAGAATTCAATTGGGCCGTGATCGCGAATTATGAACGAGCTCTACATCTCTGTCATGCTATACAGTAGCAGGGGATTCATTACTCTTGAAACTGGTCTACAGGTCTCAAGACATGTCTGATTCAACTCGAACTGCCGAAAGTGCCCCTTCCCAGCCGAACAGCGCTGATTAGTGTTCACAACCAAATTGTGTAAGAGGCAATGCGGCGTGCGTGCATAGGGGGAAGGGAATGGTGGGCACGTCCGCTAGTTCCAGGTAAGTTAGTCTTCACATCGTGTTGTGTCGTTTGCATCGTTGTGCGGCAAGTCTGCTCTGCGTGACTGCATCCAGTGATTCTGCTTCGCCCAAGGCAGCGTTCAGACTGCGCGATGGCAGCGCTCCGGTCGCGCATTCGGCGCAGTCGATCGCGCATGCTTTAGACTGCATCGATCGCGCGAGCGAAACGCTACCGCCGCGAAGTCTGGATGCTGCCTAAGTCTGGGAAATGGGGAGGATCATAGGTCATAGAGGTGCTTTCGCATCCCTCCTCTCCGAACTTCGTTGGCGCCGGCAATACAATATTGATTGGTGGTTATGGAATAGGTTGTATGTTCTTGTACTGCTTCCTCCCTTCCCTTGTCAGATGAAGGATGTGTGCCTCGGCAATAACGTAGTCTGGGGAGAGGCAGTGTTTTTATTTCTATTTACCTCCTAGGTTCAGGCTTATCGCAAACGACCACTGGCGTAATCGGCATAGTTAGAGCGTGCCCCTCCCCCTGAACTACGTTAGCACCGGTATCGTCGGCTTTTCGATCATTCGCCAGCGTTTTGAGCGATAGGAAGGCTATATGTATCAATTCAGCGTTTTAAGCGTCTTTAGCATTACGCTTGATCGCTACCAGTTCTCTCCTAGTCGTTCGACGCAGTAGCGCAAAGTATGAAGCTCTCCAGGTATTACTTTTGAATCATTTTCTTAACGGCAACTTTCTAGATCGTTGAGCGAGGATGCTCACCGGCAATGGTAGATCTCCAAGCAACGTTTTCAAATGCTTCTGACTGGCTTCACACACAAAAAGCTGCGCTGAAGGAACTCATCAAAGAATCGTCAGTTTTACGTTGCACATATTTCGTTGCCTGCATGTTTTGGAGGGGCGTGTCAGACCAGTCGTTGAAGCGATCAAGCACAAGACTGTGTCATATATTTCGTATAAGTCGTTTTCCAACGACTGTTGTCGCTTACACGCTTCAACAACTGGTAGAGAATGGTCGTGGCGCTTCACCAAACGCGTTTCGCCGGTCACGCCCTTCCATCTGCAACCGGACCATACTTATGATTAACAGCGTACTGTCGCTGAATATTTACTCTGTGCAGGAACGGAAGTAAAGCAGTGCCGAGAACGCCACGTCGTGGCCAGACATTCAGAGAGCTCCGAGAAACTGTTGAGAGTTACGGCCGAAGCATTTTAACATTCGACGATGATGACAATGAAGTGTGAGTTCGTCATATTGCGCTATGCCATCAAATGTACTATTGTCATACTACAATTGATTCATTCAGGATAGAACATAGAGGAGAGGGAGATACAGCACCAGCAAATGTAAGTGAAGTGTCAGCTACTGAATTTTGTCACGGCTGTGCACAAAACTCTGTCTAATTTAGTCAAATGCGCAAGCTGATGAACTTATTTGTTCATCTGTTATGGTTGTAAATGAAAAATGTCTCGCTGAACAAACGGAAACGCCCGCTGAAGTGGGCCCGACATCGACGGGGCGGGTTAGTTGCCTAAAATGTTGTTATCATTTTGCTCTTATTGTTAGCAGAAAGCAAATTCTTTAACTGTTTCAATTTTCATGGTCGCAAAAGGCCCGCTCTGCTTGCAGAAATGTGATCTATGCGGCTCAAAAGCCAATGAGGTGGTACATAGCACCAAGGTGAAGAAGAAGGCGCTAAAAACCTGGCCAAGAGGTTTCGCATAGAACCCCATGCTGGTCGGCGCTTGTACATGCATGAAGCAAAGAAAGGTCGTGGTCAGACGAGCGTCCACCTGCGGGCGACATATCTTTCTTCCTATAACCTAACCGTTTGAAATGAACGGAGTCAATTGCGGAATAATCGCACCATCAGGTAGCAGTTAAAACGAATGTTGGGCGTCGCTGTGGCCTGAGGGCGGAGTCGTGATTCCGTTGCGAGCGGGCGGCGCTTTCCTTACCAATTTTTTAGCTGAGAGTGTTGTCTCTGTGTGCAGACAGGACCACCATGTCCAAGGAAGACTGAACAGCATGTACATGAGAAGAAGGCGCAGCGAGCTTTAGAGTCTCTTATTGATAACCAAAAGCGAATACTGCCAGAAATCTTTTAGTTGGGTTTTTGTTGTCCTTGAGAGGCTCAGTTCAGAAGTGGTTGAGAAAAACGGATTTTCTATATAGCTTACTGCTTTTTTCTCTGACATAACCCTTTCTTATGAACGTGTTAAAGGGAAATGCAGTGGTGGCTGAGCCCGAAAGTTCGTATGAGGATGCTGTGTGTTCCATTAATAGAGAGGAAGCTTACGGTACCGAGAGAGTAGACGAACTACAAAATGAGGAACCTCAACCTGCAGATGATCGCTTGGAAACATCGGAAATATATACCTCTGCAACGGAAGTGCCTTCCCTTGGTCTACCTACATCTACCTTGAAGGTGAAATAGCCAGCCTCTTATTAAGGTATGGGCCTCGCTTGAATTGTATCTTAGGTTGAGGTCCAAACCCCTGAAGTTCACATATCTTCGATTCCTGCGTCTTCCCAGTCGAATGCCGTTGGTACTTTCACTACGGTTAGTCTACAGTTTCGTGCAATATTTTTTCTCTCGTTTGTAGGAGCTCACGGGTGCGAGGACAGGCAGACTCTTGATTAATTATATTGGGTTGTCCGCTATGTTTCAAAAACATTCCACTGCTTCAGTTTGAGGAAGTTTATTGAGCGAATGCGCCAGCACAAAATCGTATAGCAGATGCAATGAGAAAGAAAAATGTTCGTAGGTTAGGTACGGCGTTGGCTGGTTGGTATTAACTTTCACTACCAGATGAGTTACCATACTGAAAAAATGTACGAGGGCCACAAGTCCGGGCGCCTTTTACTTGACCCTCACCGTTCTGGCTGCTCTTTCGGGCAAATCGCGAATAAAGCACAGTCGCTGATGCTAGGCAAAACACTCTTCGGAATAATCCGTACTAGAAGTTCGATCGCATCTGAATCAAGTGAAGGGAGTTGGATATTGCGTCCGCCTCCGCTTTTTGGCGCTCCCACGCACAGTAATCCTCCCGCCCAACGTTAAGGAATATGTTAAGGACAATGTTTACCGTAATTACTGATTGGGATTTCGCAAGACTTTTCGCGCACCCTCATAGTTACCAGTTTTTTTGTTGCAGAACCTTCTCGTGAAACAGGAAATTCTTTCTGCCCAACGAACGCAGCCAAGTCTTGACACTCCTTGTACGACGTCAACAGAGACGTGCGAGAGGGTAGGTTACAACATCCTTTGGCGTACTTTTCTTTTGTTCAAAAAAAAGCCGCGAAAAAGGACGTCATGTACCTTTGCGAACCGTGCAGTCTGGCTGAAGCGAGGGTTTCCGCACGTTGTTCGGTCATTGACGCCGTCATTGGGCTGTGTTCATAATTGCGGCAGCGACCAGCAGCGTAACCACTGTTTCCAGCGTCTGGCAGCGTCAGAGACTAAGAGATATATGATATCGATCTGGCGTCCACTAGCGTCCACCAGCGGCAGCTGAGCTCAGGAGTGTAGAGTATGGAGCGATAGGAGTGTAACACACTGCCGGTAGAGTAGGGACGACAGCTGTCTGCTGCCCTGCTATCGCCCTATACTCCACTACTGGACGCTGGTAGACGCTGCTGGTCGCTAGATCGATACCTACACTTCCTAGCCCTCGAGATAGTGGTGGACGCTGGTAGACGCTGATGGACGCCAGATCGATATCTGCACTTCCCTAGTCGCTGACGCTGCCGAACACTGGAAACGTCAATGTTCGGTGGTGGACGCTGCTGGCCCTGGTGGTAGCTGTTGTAAAGTGAGAAGTATTCAGTACGCGACCTTAAAGACAGCGCCCGCGATGGACTTTGGCAGGTCTCAGGGGTCAAATTTGTTAGAACAGGTGGCCAATGAAGCACTAATCAAAAAAAAGTAGGAAAAAGGTGTGGAAGAGCGTGAAATAAGACCCTACGAAATTTAAGGCATGTGGACGAGTTTCGCAGACCTTTGGTGAGTTCTCCAATACACGTCGCCGCTCGGAACTCCAGAAACTTAGCGTTTATCAATGCCAGCAAGCACTGACAACTGTTAACCAGTCGGGGCGGGATTAACAGGGAAGGAGGCGTCAGCTCAGCCTTGTTGACTCCGCCCTCGTCAACCAATCGATTTCGAGCCGCAAGAGTGGGATTTCCGCTGTGGTTGCGTACTCCGCGTTCGTTTTCATTGGAGGGTTTTTTTTCAGTACTTTGGTCTGATGCGACGCTGCCTTTAGAATGAGTGGAGATGGTGAATCCGCTGTAGGGAAGCGAAGCGATCGAGAGTGCTGGTAAGACCAAAACTTCCAACAAAGTCGTATCATTTGTGAAACTTGTTTAGTCGCTTCTTGCGTCTTACGCCCGTGAGCGCCATTTCTATTCCGAAAGCGGCCAGCCTTTAAGGACTAGGTCAGCTAAGACTCTCTCTTACAATAACGCTGAAATGATTAAATCATCAGCGGAACTTTATTTATGACGCAGATTAGTTTTCCATTCGTTTGCTTTTACTGCTTATATTGTTTGCCGCATTTCGTAACTGGTCATTCATCGCTTATTTGATCAGTGTTTCAGGTGACGAGGTCAGTTACCAGGGCAAATGCAGCAATGAACGCCGTAAGTCTCTAGTTAACTTTAGAGTTCAGAGTATGACTGAAAGCCAATACTGACCAAACAAATAGAATAAGTCTGTGATGGTCACTAACTTCCAATCTTCCAATTTAATATTTTCAACGTGCTAAGTGAAAGAGATATTTGTAGTAAGAGCGGAATCAGAAATTACCAATTCCAGAGAGGCTTTTTCAGATCTATTCTAGGAAGACATTTGCGATCAGTAGTATCCTAATTTATCTTGCATCAGTCTTATGTGAACCTGGGCTTCACTACCTTATTCCAGGTACCAGTTTCGAGCACTAGAGCACGGATTATGGCAGCTGTTAAACATCGGAAACAAACTCCTGTTTCTTCAGCTCGACGTGCTGGCCAGGAGTACGTTATTTGAAGCGTTTATCAATTGGTCATTAATTTACTATTTCTACCTTATTTCAGGGACCCTGATTCTGCCGCTGAAAGCGCATCGCCATCCCGTGCTCTACGACCTGTACATCAGCATATAGTCACAACACCATGCAAACGAGAATACAAGTCTGCTGTGCAGCGAGTTATGGATACCCAGGTTGGATTACTTAACGATCGTTGCCAAGGTCATTAAGGCATGCTTCGCGAACTATGAGTGCCTCGCCCATAATGGGCGGGACTCGGCTTGGTTGTTCGCAATGTGTGTTCCATATACCTTGACCTTGCCCGAGCCATCACACCTTTAACCCGGTCGTTTAAACTGGGTCTTCAATTAATGCTAAATAGATAGCTAAGGGATTTATTTTTTTACTCATATCATCGAAACAAGAGACTCAGGGCACATTCTGGTTTTTTGGGAGACATTTTGAAGAGAGAATATCCCACTCGCAAAATTCTGTTGAGAGGAGGAGTGGGAAGATAGCGCCTATGAAAATGGAAAATAAACAATCAAAGTTTTTTTTGCCAGACCAAATCCTTCCCCTCCTCCTACGAGGGGTGCATCCTCCATCCCTGTGTTGGGCAAACCCGACGTATATTGTGTGTTACAACACATTCACTTTACAGAGTAGCAGAGTACTTCCTAGCTAATTGCCACCGCAACACTTCCACCTTCAATCTATTGGGTCCTGGTGCGAATGCTGCGCATGTGACGCCATTTGCAACGCTTTTTTCACCTACTTGAAGCGGCTCACCATCTGGTCTCTCATGAATGTAGTAGAGAAATCGTGCGAAAAAGCAGCAAGATCTAATTCGAGAGGTCCTTATCTTACTTTATTAGAGGAATTTTCCGCATTTTCGATTCCCTTACCAATTGATAGTCGCAGTAAAAGTCCACCTATAGTGAATACAGTTTGGAATAAAATAACCCCTGAGCAAAATAACCCCTAACCCCCGGCTAGAGACATTCTCTAACTTTTCAATACAGATGGATGCAGATGTAGTTAAGCTAGAAAAAGCTATGTCCTCCAACAGCTTTTCAGTGCAAATTGAAAGTATTGATTAGAATATTGATTTTGTAGGCCATTGCACGGAACTTATCTCCGAGACGTCCGATGGCTCACACACCGGTACGGCCTACGAGGTCGGCCCACACTCAGGCGGCGACTGTGGTGACGAACATTCTTGTGAGCCTTCATGCTACCGCTTTTCGTTTCTTTGAGGCTTTCTATATGTTTCGAGTTTATAGAAATGACCTGTATACTTTACGCAGTTGTGTTGTAGACGGCGAAAAGGAGCAAAGCTGAAGCTTTACGCCGGGAAAAAGAAGAGCTTGCTGCGCAATTGCGGGAGGAGCAGTGTAAGGAAAGAGCTGAGCGAATCCGTAAAGAACGCGAGGAGAAAGCGTTAAGAGTAAGCAGGATTCTAATAACTTTATTTATTTCTTCTTATGGTCTGAAATGACGAATGTACTGAGAGGTACTCATTATACGAGCGCAAACTCCAATTTTCAACGAAAAATCTTTCTATATATAAACCAGATAAACATAGCTACTCAAAAAGCGGTAGGGACTGGTTTTGCTACACAAGCAAAGGCTACCACTGTCGGGGTGGGTGCGAAGTGTTTCGCGGCGGCAGGGACGAGTTGTCCGTCCCGAAGTACTTGCGAATGAAAGCTGAGGTGGTCAGCTGCTGAATTTGCGTCTCGCACTGCACTGTTCAAACCAGCTAGAATTGGCTTTCAGTCACTTCCATAACTTCGATCTGGCTATGTAAGTGAATTAAGTCATAGGGCACTAATTTTGCTCCACTCGGCGGCGGAGGGGTTCTCATAATCCTTTGCTATTTTGTTAAATATTCTTTGTATTCTTTTGCGATTTTCTAATTGAATTCGAGGGCGATTGAATCCATAGGGAAGTTCAGGCTCAACGACGAAGAGAACAAAAGGAAGCTGAAGAAAAGCAAAAGGCGGAAGCGCGGAAGCGAAAGGAAGAATTGGATGAGCGTAGGAGGGAGGAACTTCGAATCCAGAAAAGCCCATCGTGAGTCACTGAAGATTTCGAGGTTCTGGAAAACCCGGCTCCAAGTTCTATTTCATGATTGTTGCCCTATTTCGTCTCTTTCTCCTTTTTTTCATTTATTTATTTAGTCGTTTGTTCATGCTTTATTTATTTATTTATTTATTTATTAATTTATTTCGTTCCACTTATCTCTTTCTTTACTTCCACTATTCATTGTTTCCTATTCTTTATCACTTTCTTCCATATACATACACTCATACATACAACATACATACATTCATTCATTGTTTCGTTCTTTTATTCATTCTGGGTGTGTTAGCGATTTTTCGTCTTGTTGTTTTTGCGTTGTGTTTGTTATGTCTTTTGTTTCAGTCATTCATTCCCTTATTCATTCTTTTTTCTTTCGTTCATTGTTTTATCTTTCTTTCTTCCGTTCAGTCTTTCGTTATGATTGCTATTATGCAGTTGTCCAGCAGTTCATTCTCAATCTTTAATTAGTCATGTTTTGCAAGAAATTGTAACTTTTACAGCACCAATCTTGACATTTTTGTTCAATGTGTTCGTTTGATCTTTAGCTTTTCTGGATGTGAAACATTAGGTTCTCATTGAAATTTTGTTTTAAGGCGAAGCAAAGCACCATCTCGTGTGGTTAGTCCCGCAAGAGCGCCTAAAAAAGCCGCAGATAATGAGGTTCGCCCTGCGGCTAAGGTATGGTCCTATCAGAAATGGAGATATGTTTTATAGTTGCTCTATAGTTTGGTTTCAGATGCTGTTCCCAACCACTCCTGGACGTGCTCCCTCGAAAGTGGCGAAAGTAATGGCTACAGGCGGTGAAACTTCGAGAGAGCCTACCATGAATACCGTAGGTTTTTCGAGTTCTATGATATCAAACTTTGGGCGGAGTTCGGCGACAGGAAGGGTCGACATGCTTGCTTGAGCTTCGCCTCCACAAGAGTTCACAGCTTCCAAAATACTGCAGTGAAACTTAACTTGTCAGCCGGAAATTGTGAAGCAGGGGAAGTTCTGAATGCCCTCCTCCGCAGTCGCCGAACTGTGTCCATACTTTGTTTTCATTTTTTTCTACGACTCCTCTATGGCGCTATGTATGAATACGGTCTTAGGGTGGGGATGCTGTAGCGCGCGCAATCCAGGTGTCAAATCTTGCGATCCAGGAGTCAAATCTTGCATTTTGGCTCCCCGAGCCTTCTATCCCTCTATGAGCACTTAATGGATATTAGACTCGTTTGCGATGGTAAAAACACTGACGTTTACTTCGTTTCGCATCCCCACTTTCATTTCGTAGGACCAGAACCCTTTCAAGATGCCACCGCTATTCCGAATTCGTAAAAGGCGTGGCGGGTTCTGAAATGATTTAGCTGGCAAAAATGGGACAACCCGGAAAACTTTTTTGATCCACCGATGACATTTATCCATCGTTTCCATGGACCTTTTTTGCTAAATTTAACATCGCAGTAGTCCCTAACATGCAACCTATGAAATAAACATTAACAATTTTTAAGCCTACTCGCGAGGCACGACGGAAGCCCCGCTCGGCAAAGAAAGGTCCCAGAGGCGACGACACCACTGATGATGAATCGGTACGTTTTCTAGTAAGGTCTGCGACATGGTTTTTATAGGGGCAAGATGGCCTGTTATCAAGAAATTTGACGAGCTGCTATCTCTGTTTTCTTGAATGTCGATCAACTGGTTTTTAGATATCCCCTCAAGGTATGCTAAAAAGGCACGAAATTGCAAGAGAAGAGCGCCAGAGAATAATGAGGGAAGAGCATGAGCGTCAAGAGAGGTCGATAAACTAGTAAACTTCATTACCATTCTCATTTTTTATTTGTTACTGTTCAATTGTACTTTTTCAGATTACGAGAAGAGGAAAAGCGTCGCCAACGATTGGATAGTGAGTTGAGGCAACGTCAGCTAACTTCAAGTGCTTATGTGAAAATGGAAGTAGATGAAGTGCAAGACCATGAGGAGGAACAACGAGCCGCTTCTGAAGAGCGAGAAAGGCAGCGTTTACTGCAGGAAGAAAAACAACGTGAAAAGCGGTTAATGGAAGAGAAAATGGAGCGCGAAAGGTTGAGAATCAAGCAGGAACTAAGGGAACGCGAAGAACGAGAAGCTTTCGAAAGAGAGCAGGAATTAGAAAGGCAGAGATTACTAGAAATGCAACAAAAGGAGGCCGAAAGATTGAGAGAAGAGCAAGCCAAAAGGGTTGCAGAAGAAGAGAAAAGGCTTTTGGAAGCTGCTGAAGAAGAAGAACGGTTGAGAAGGCTGCGCGAAGAGGAAGAAGAAGCCATGAAACGTCTCAATATAAGTTGCTCGGCAGAACTTCACAATCGCCATTTAGAGAACGTCAGCTTGAATGTGAGTTTCTCATGCCAAGTCGTACTAAAAGACTGTGAAGATGTTTTTCGGGGGCAGTTCGGCGACGGGGGAGGGGGCATTTTGCACTTTTGCTACTTCCCATCAAGCCATCTAGAGAGCCTTTTCTTCAGTTGTCAGGTTTCACCATGGTTGCTCGACGGGCTTGCTCCAACTTCACAAGATTTCACAGGTTTCACCTTAGACTTGCCGGAATTCGTGAAGCAGCGAAAGTGCAGAATGCCCCCCGTCGCCTTAACTGCGCCCTTTTTCAGATCAAAAGTCAAAAATGTGTTTTATAAAAGTGCTTCAACGCAGTTTTAAAGTTATTGATTTGATGCAGATGATCGATTTGTTGCATTACTACATGAGAGCGGTACGGCTTTGTGGGGGCACTGAATGACTGAGCTTTTACGGTCCACCTTGTGAAGTCCTGTATATTCGTGCTACTAAAGGGAGGCACTCGTACAATTTCGCAGCTTCACAGGAATTTACGGGTCTCACTCGGTGTTAATTAACATGAACTAACAAAAGAACCTAGCGGAAGTGCAAGATGCCCCTCCAAGCCGAACAGCTCCTACAGTGCTTCGATTGCGGCTGCAAAAATACACCATTTCTGCAACACAGAACCTGCACGGCGAAGAAACTGCAGTATTTCTCGTTGTGAATGGTGGAGCCTGTCAGCGCGGCCGTGTTTGGCCAGCACCATCCAGTTTTCTCCTTTTTTTTTCTTCCGACAAGCGACGAAGCATAGGGCTGAACACGCTGCTGTTCTAGCGCGCACTCTCACCGCGTTACTTTTCGGTGAGGTTTGTTAAGGGAGGTGAATTGAGTGTTTACATTGGGAATGATTTCGAAAAAGGCCCCACAAGGCTCCAAGAATATCGAAAGATCACATTCACTCATTCATTTCCATGTTTGTTCGAATGCCAGAAGTACTTTTTTGCAGCTGTCACGGCAAGTCGTGCGTTGGAGATCCGCAGCGAGGGGTCGTATTTGATCGCTTGAGGGAGGGAGTCCTTTTTGCCTACAGTGAAATGTTTGGTTGTTGACCTTTATCCTCGGTTGTTTTCCCTGTTTCAGGCACGCTATTCGCCCCTGCTCGACAGTAATTTTTCGAGTTGTGGGGCTGAAAATTTTTGAAAAAAATGAAGGGTAGAGGGCTGTTCGGAATGTCTAGGAAGATGAACGGTAGGATGGGGAAAGAGGAAGGGGAGATCGCATCAGGGGATGACATCTCCAGTCCATCGTCCGCAAAAATATTCCTCAACGGTGAGACATGCCCTGGCAAATGTAGACCTCCTCACATTGTAGGCGGTAAAAGTCCACATCACAGATAATCCCACAGTGTGTCTTTAAGTCTTAAATTGTAAAGATCACTTGAGATGTTTCTTTATAGACACCCGCTCAGCTGTCAACTTCTCGACGTCACTCCTCATATGAGCTTACTCCCGATAAAGTGTTCAAACCATCCAGCGAGAACAACTACAATATCGAGGATCTATCTAGTGGTGACGAAACGGACCAAGAGGTACATATCTTTTTTTTCAAAAGCTTATTGATCTTGTGAGGAATCTATGTTTTAGGACGCTCCACGAAAGAAAGTTCCAGCTTGGGCTGAGGGTGCACTTCTTCGGAAGGCGCTTGCTGAGCAAGCAGAGATTCTGAGATCCGGAAAATTTGATCCCGATGATTTCTTTGGTGAAATTTTTCCTGTGAGTGTTTGTGTTGTTGTGTTGAAAGTACATCTTTCAAATGTTCTGCGAAGGTTTCAAGCTGCAATCTTAATGGTTTCAGCCGGATCTGTCCAAGATCTTTGGAACATCGAAAAGATACCCGCGGCGAGGTTCCTCTGGAATATGGGACTCACCGATCAGTAAACCTCGTCAAGGTGTTGGAGCATACCAGAAGAAATTCTATCCGAAAAGCTAGTTTTAGTGGAATGAAGCGAAACCTTTTTCTTGGTGAAGACTTTTGTTGGCTCTTTTTTCTAGTTTCCAAGTAAAGTGATCTATCGTCAAGTATCATTCTTTCACTCCCTATTCAACCCAGGCAGTGATATGTGTATTCCTCTGTTGTTCAAATGCTAGGTCAGTTGAATGGTAACTTGTATGCGTTTACTAGTTGTATTGTATTGAATATTTGTTAGGAAGCTTGTAAAGTTGTATTGATAATAAAAATTTGGGAAATTCCCTTGATGGTTTCTCAAAGCTGTTGTCTTCGCCATACGTATATACATTCTCTTTTATTTTCTTTTTTTCCTGTTTATTTGCTAGTTTTTAGTTGCTGATCAGTGAGCCTAGGCTGTTATGTCAAATGAGAGAACAGTAAAGTTTGTTGTCAAGCCGACAGGATCGTCCAATTTGTCACTCAGGTGAGCATCTCAGACGCTGGCGCTGATATAGCACACACGCGGCTTAGCATATTACTTAGCGAGAGATAGATGGCGCTCATTTACGTAACATAAATGACAAGTGGGCGCACTTACCACTCGCGCAGTGCTGGCTTCGGATCCCGGGTGGACTCCCGCTGTGGCAACCAAGCATTTTACCCTCAGAGGACGATAAATTGTTACCATTTTTGTCTAGCAACATTGACTTGTATGTATATCGGCTGCCTCCCCCCCCCCCAAGTCATTGTATAGGCCACATCGCATTCAATAAGCCACTACGATTCTGAATGGAAGTAGAATGCGTGCCGCATCCCACAAAGGGATTACTCAACGACGAGGGCTTTACCCTTTATCCTTCAACGCGCATGGTTCAGTCTGTGGTCCTGATCAATGAATGACAGGATTTCTGTGCTGACCTATAACACATGGCCCAATTCCCATTTTTCGAAATTCGGCTCATTTCATCATATTTCTCTTATTTAATGAGCATTCGCCAGTGTCTGGTGCTTATCAATTCCTAAAAACACAGACCATTCGTTGGGAATAGAATAGCTTAGCGGCTGAAAGAGTCGATGGTTGGAATCACAGTGAAATGTGTTTACATCCTAGTACTTCCGTTGAGCTGCTTTCACATATCCTTCTGTTGGTGGCTCTTATCATTCCCCACTGGCAAACAACTTTAAGCTGTTACTTTTTGTCGAATCTCGAGAGTTTAGCGGTCTAATTAATTCCGACCATAACACTAAAGGATGGAAACATTTTGGCTCACTGAGGCTTTGCCCATTCATTCCATGGGCCACGGTGGTCAACATGAGGCGCAAGCGGAGTAAAGCTGCGAACTGATACTGGCCCTTGTCGGACACACTA